TGATAAATATGAGAAAAGAATAAAAAAGATTTCCAGTTTGTGGTTCTAAGCACACAACAAATTCAAAGGAGCATAAGGCAGTTAAACATACAAATCCCTGAGACTCTTTTTAAAACCCCTGTCAGTAGGTGCACTGTAATCATACATTTGTTTCATCATGATCTTTCCCTCTTTATGAGTTTTAACCCTTCTTTCGCAATAACTTAGCACTTATAGTTTCTAAGTGTTTGCAGTGGAAAAGTACATTATCTACTAAGACATGATAAATGTCACTAAAAATAGCTAAATTTATTAGAACATGTTTATTTAATACAATTTCAACTATTTCCTCAGAGAGTTTTCCAGAAACTCTCCCTGCACATGTGTGCATATAGCAACAAAATTGCTTTGGAAATACAAACTAGTTACCCTGTCCTGCTGCTGTGCACTTAATCAATTCTTGATGACTTAAGTGGATGTGTCCAGATGTGCATGGACATTCGGTTCCCTGGGGAAAAATAACAGCAGTGCACCTTGCACCACAGCTACTTGTCCTGGGGAACACCTGTGCCACATGCGCTTTGGCATGCAGCAAGTTGCCCCAGGTGGGGTAGGGGAGGCTGGGGCCAGCACTGGGTTAGCCCCAGATGCCTTACCTGGGGTCTTGGGGGCCTCCCAGGGCTGCAGCCATGGCAATTCTGCTGTGCAGAGCCTGGCTGGCAGCCACAGCACAGGTCCGGGTGGCCCGGCTCTGCTTTTCACACGCACTGTCCAAGCATGCGCTGCAGTGGTTTTTTTTCTCAACATTTTCTTTTTACCCCTTGATATCCAGGGGCCAAAAAACCCACAGAAATAAGAACCACCCCAGCACACGCTAGGGCAGCATGCCCTTGCAGCAAAGAGGCACCAGATGGTGTGGTACGAGGCATTGCAATTGGACACACCCAATCAGTACCAAACGTATTGTACAATAAGCGTATTATAGGGAATGAGGTTTGGTTTGTATGAATGCTCTCCAACACCAAAAAGGTTAACATATAAGGGATCTCCAAGTGTCTATCAAAAAGTGCTTGCTTGTTCTTTTCCTCCATCAATAGTCTAGATTGGATTACATTTTTATTTGGCAATTTTTTAGTCCTTCAGCAGTGCATAAAGAAAAAAATGACTGTAACAAATGTCGTTAAACATCCTTTAAACAGAAACAAATTTTTCAGGTGAAAACTTTTATTATGATCTCCTGTGGTTTAGATGGGAAGAACTGCACATTGTTTTAGAACTTTCAGTGACTAAATATTTTTGGTTTCCACCAAAATGTGAATGAATAATTAATGAATAACTCTCTGGATTGTAAATGCTCTTTGCTCATGATGACAAATTTTATTCTTTCCTTTATTCTGTCACATACAGTGTACTCATACAGTTTTCCTAACAACAGTACTAAAATACCCATAAGTGCTAACATTTCAACTTAAATGTTCACTTATTCACATATCATTTCAGTGTGTGTGTGTGTGTGTTTCAGGATGTCTATTGTATATGCTTGTAAGAAAATGAATTTTAATGCCCTAGTTCACAGGTGGGCAAAATATGGCCCGCAGGCTGGATCTGGCAGCGGTTCCCTTGATCCCGCCTAGCCCAGGCATTGCCCCACTGTGTGGTGCATCCTGGAATGGCTCTTCAGCTGGACTGCCTTTCTAGGCAGCCCAGGTGGTGCTGGCTCCTTCCGGCTCCTGCTGCCACTGGCCCCAGCACTGTGGTACCAGTGGGGATCCCCATGCACAGCCCTGACTGAGCCCACCCTGCACCTGCTCTGGACTTGCCTCGCCAGGCTGAGCAGCAGCAGCAACAGTGGTGGCCAGGCAGAAACTGTTGCTCAGCACAGGGGAAAAGCGGCCCCTCCCCCTCACTGCTGCTGAGCTCTTCAAGCTGCAGCCGGCTGGAGTCTGTGCCAGACTGCCCCGTGTCTGCTCTGCACTACTACTGTTGCCCTGCTGGGCAGCCCAGAGGCGGTGGTGATGGTGGCGGAGATGCAGGGCACCCCAGGATGGGTTCCAGGTGCCTGCAGCAGGAAGGGCACAGCAGCAGCGAGGGGGAGGGGCCACTTTTCCTCTGTGCTTAGTAACAGTTCCTGCCTGGCAGCTGCTACTGTTCAACATGGGTGAGTCCAGAGCAGGTGCAGGGCAGACCGGGGCAGGCGTGTGCAAGCAGGTCCCCACCAGTACCATGGGGCTAGGGCCAGCAGTGGTGGCAGCCAGAAGGAGGTGCCACTACCTGGGTTGCATAGAAAAGAAGTCCAGCCATGGAGCCACCTCAGCCCCAGTGTGAGCCCAGGGGGTGGCAGGATGCACCACAGGCAGTTGGTGTGGAGCACGTGTGGGACAGGCTGCCATCAAGGCTGCACATGTGGGATGAGTCCAGAATGGGTGTGGGGCAGCGCTGGGGCTGCATGCTGTTGGTAGCAGGGAGGCACCACAGGTTATGCAGGCTCTGGACTGTTGCAGGGCAGGGCGGGTGCTGACCAGCTCAGGGGAATGCATGGGGGCTCCCATGTAACCCCACAATACCCACAAACCCTCCCCCACAAAACCCACAACCACACCTTCTCCCACACAATTGCACATGCCACAAACACTGCACCCACCCACACCCTTCCCCACAAACTCCACACCCCTCCCCATATGTAACCACTGCACACACCCAGGCACCTCTGGGGGAAGCCCAGCTCACTGCTACATACCCCACCACACATGCACCTCCACCCCCCCATGCACAACCCACCCCCCCCATACACACCTGCGCACATTTAGGGGGAGCCACATTCACTGCTATGCACACACACCCCACCCCATCCTTCACACACACCCCCAGTTACCCACTCCCTCCATACACCCCACAGCCCCCCACAAACCCATACCTACCCATCCACCCACACACACAACCTCACAACCCCCCACAAATACCCTATACCCACCCACATCGCACATACCCCTACACCGTCCCCCACATCCCACATACAAGCACATACACACCCATAGTCTCCCACAAACCTCATACCCACCCACCCATACCCCCACACACCTCCAGTTATACAAGAGTAAGACTTCATTTTGAGCTATTATGCAATCACCTCTTTATACACAACACAACCACACACAAATCAGGACAATTTAAAAAAAAATAAAATTAAAATATGTTATTATGGAGCTTTGATTTTTAGTATCTAAATTTGTTTTTTTTCCAGTTCCAAGATGGCAAACCTGTTTCCCAAATGGAGTACTTCTGAGGGCAATGGGAGGGGACTTCTGGTGGCAAAGGTCAGAAGTTGGGACTTCCTGTCCCAAGATGGCAACCAGGGGACAGGGTACCTGTGAAAGGGTGGGGCTACCCTTGTGGTCCTCGACAGCTCCCCAAAACTTAAGTGGCCCTCCAGCCAAAATAATTGCCCATCCCTGCCCTAGTTAGTTAAAAATGCTTGTCGCTATGAGAAGCTGGAGAAGCTGCACACCACAATTCAGTTCTAGGAGCATATGTTATGTAATTCAGTCATTCCAGATGTACATCACTGCTTCTCAGAAAATAATTTTACTTTCAGACTTTTAGTCTAAATGGTATTGGTTTATATGCTATTTTTGCCTTTGCAAGAATAATTTTCCTTTAATCTGTTTATTAACAGCTACACCAGTGCTCTGAGCTGAAGCCATATCCTTTTTTGAAACCTTAACTGTAGCATAAATTAATTCCATTAGACAGCTGTTGATTTTTTTTTTTTTAATGTTAAGGAATAGCAAGGAAAACTATACCACATGCATTCATTTTCTTTCTTTTCTTTTCCCCCCTCCATACATCAGCTGCATTTTTTATTATTTAATTGTAGTTTGGCCAGTTCTGAGTTCCTAAAACTTTTGGCAAAGAAGGGATACATTTCAAACAAAATTCGGGGAAATTTTACACCAAACCTTGGTTGCTTTGCAGTGCTGGAAGAAAACCAACTTTATATGATTGTCACTTCTAACTGGGCAAAATCTGGAGTCTTCTTCCAACCCCAGTGGCAAAGCAAAACTCGCCCAAACCTGTGAACTGAATCATTCACTACTTTTAACACCAAGAGAATTTGTGATTGACAGAAAGGGTAGAAACTGTAAAGGAGCAGCCTGATTAAACAGTTAGGCCCCATGGTTGAAAGTTCTTTTAATCAAAAGCAAGAATTTTTTTCACCTAAGCAAGTGTTTCCCTTCATAAGGTCTCAATTCCTCTTCTCACTAACTAGCAAGGACTGTAATCAAAACTACTTTGATCATTCTCCTGCCCTACATTATTCATAGAATGAGAGAGCCAACAATGTAGGACTGTCTGCAGCTGAAATAAGTGAGATCATCCCAGACTAGTTTGCCTTTCCCAGTATGGCGGCTCTTCTGTGGCTTGTGGGAGCAAACACACTTTTCATGATAGGAGCTTGTATATCCTAAAAAGTCATGTAAACATTTCCTTTATAAAAAGCACAAGTCTTATTCAGTGTAACCATGCTGATGGGAGGCTCTGGTTTATGCTGCTGATATTGTAGTGGAGATTTTAGTTGTTGTAGTAACACAGCCAATATTTCAGCAAATTCAATTTTTCAGCTCTGTTACTTCTTCACTGTCCCAACCCCTCAAAAATGGGGAAAAAATTCCTTGTGTGCAGTGTGAACCATGTTACTGCACTCTTTCACCCCAAGCCTTTTCACTGTTGAAGTATAAATGAGTAGAAGTAAACCAGTAATCTCTATGAAATTTCTTTCATATATATGTTTGTTCTTTTTGGAACATCCTTTGCAGAACCAAAATGGCAGACTGATAACAGCTGCTATTTATATTTACAATATAGGATTCATTCACATCATTTGCCTCATTGTTTCATATTAGTGTTGTTGGAAAAAATCATATGGTTGATGTCAGTCTGCATCAATGCAAAAAAACTGAAGATTATTAAAGCTTAACTGGATTTGGTTTTAGTTAGAACAAAAGAGCAAAAGAATACAGTACCTTTTGGTGACTTAAGTGTCATCGCAGCAAAGTCACCATCATAACTTCCTAAAAAAAATAATCAAGACACGCTGGTATGCTTGTTCTGTTTCATGTCACAAACATTGCAAACACAGCACACTAAATCAAAATACTTCAAAGGCAGACAGTATTACATTCTTATTAGGAGCAACTTCTCATACACTTAGTCATATTGAACAGTACCTTGATTTTCAAATAGCTTCTCTGAAGTCAATGTGACTATTTAGTGGCACTGATATACTAGGTTTGAGTGTGGGATTTGGAATCAGGCTCTTAGGCCATCCAATTTTCCTCCTTAAACTAGGATTTCTTGTTTCTCATTTTCTGAATTTATACTTAATTTTAGATGCCACTGGGGTCACGGAATACCTCTTTCTGGGCACGTCTGCATGAGGCACTTAATGCCCATTGGGCTAATTCTACTGCACATTAGCGCTGCTGGCAAAAATCATAAAACTCTTGTACACCATGCATCCATCCTTGCCTATTTTTAAAGCAGAACTGGGTTTGGTAGTGGTCCATTGTTATTTTTTAGTAGATACAAGAACCACTAAGGCTTCACACTGTTCATTTCTTAGTATATAATTTAATGCAAAATTATGTGTAAATAATTAAAATTCCATGAAAATAGACTTGACTGATTCGCTTCCATTTATGTTTACTGGCTGCTTACCCAAGTCCACTGCTGATCTGCTCAGTGGATGGAAATAGATTTGCCCAAGTCCATTTTCTTCTAGCTTGAGGAACTGGATGTGGGAGGTATACTTACCAGGATAATATTCTTCACTAGCCCAACTGGACCTATGACACTGCAATTATAGGTTGGCATGTTGCCTCCCCTGAAAATTAGGCATGGAGGAAACTCATTTTATCTCATTTTTAATGTTCTCATATCATACGAATTTGAAAATGTTAGTTTTCAAAGAGACAGAAAGGGTTTCGGTACAAGAGGGATATCTTGAACCATAAAGCATTATATATGCTTCCTTTTAACTGGGAAACTATTCATTTTTAAAAAAAATGAAAGACCTGTTGTAAAATAAGGGAAGTGAAAGAAACATGGCTTTTAATAATAGAAAATAAAGTGATCTACAAACTTAAGTTAGTTTTCTAACACTGAGAAAAAGGTTGAGAGTTCCTTAAAATGTCATGAGGGTCAACATCTCCAACGAAGATAGATACTGGGCCCATTTCAAACTTACAAACACCTGGATTTCCATGTCTGTATTTTGTCTTTGTCAAACTGAGGCATAAATATGTTTCTGTATCTTTGCTTGACTACTTTAGTGACTGTTTAAAAATCAGCCTTTGTACTAACAGTAGCTATGGTTACTTCCTGCAGAATACTCAAAAACTGGAAATATTATTTAACAAGTAAAGGTGAGATAACACAGATGAAACTGTTTAAGTGTTTCTCATTGTGGTGTTAAGGCTTCCTCTCCTATACCTAGTACTGCTCACGGTTTCTCCTGTAGCCTGAGGTGCCTTTTCTACTAAGACCAACTTTATCTCTCAGGAGCTGCCTTTTCATAGCTCTGTTCAACTGCCAAAGAATGGATATTTCTGTGACATGACCAACACCTTTTTTGATGTCTGATTATTTATTGAAAAATTCCCCAGGCTCAGAATGAAAAAAATCACCAGTCACTCTGCAATAAAATGTAATTCTATTAAGGGATTTAACAAGACATTAGCCAAACAGCTGATAATATATATGTTGGTACCTGGGATACTGAGGCATTAAAAAAACCTAGTTCTTGCAGTATAGTTAAAATGCCTCCAACTCTGTGGAGGAAAATGACTCTGTTGCATGCTAGGAGATAGAAAAATTTGGATAAAGATACTGGGGCAGATTTCTTTATGAATTCATTAGGTTCTGGGTTGAGTCCTGAAAGTTTGCACAAAGCAGGCAGGAATTCAGATTTTGAGGTCTCCATGAAGGATATCATTTATATGCCTGAGAAAAGGGTGGGCTGTATGGACAGTTGCTAAAATGTGAGCCTGTGGTCCCAAGTATTTTGTAATTCAATGTTTTTATTGTATTAATGCCTAAATGCTTAGAATCATGTCTCCTATATCCAGTGGGGGAGCAAGGATTAGCCTTTGTCATACTTCCTTTGAAAATGAACACCCAAAGGCTCTAAATCCAGTCACCCTGGTTTTTTAAAAAAAGTTATCAGGCTTTTATGTCACACTTGGTTGAGATAGATACATGACCCCAGTTTTGAATCAGGCAGATTGCCTAGTTTAGCATTGTGTGTGACAGTGAACATACCTCTAGATATATGAAATCATTAACTGAATCACCCTCTGGATATGACAAATGATGCATTAGTCTCTGCTTCCCTGTCACTTTCTTGGGTGTTAAATCCAGTGAGCTATTCCTATGTCTGAGTCTCATCATCCATTTTTGGGCAACCACTTGTGGTTGTTGTAGCTGAAGATTTCTTTGCTGTCAGAAATGAAAAAATCTAGACTTTTTGGAGGCTTTCCAAATAAGCTTGGGTATACTTATCAGTTAGCAGTAGGGTGGGTAGTGGTAGGTAGCACACCACAAATAAGACTTTGTACTGTTTCTAAATGTGAAGCCATATCATTGTTGATGGAGTCACATACAGATCTTCTTCCCTGCTATATGCTTCTCTGGTACTGCCTTTTCACCTCTTTCTTCCCATATTACTCACTCCTTGCTTCTACGGATGACCTAGAATCCATGCAATATCAGCTCAAGGAAGTATCACAAGGGGGGATCCAACTCCCTGCAGCACTGGGATGGTAAGGAGTTTGTCAAGGAAGAAATATAATTTTTTCATTATTTTTCAGTGTCTTCAGATAGATGGCATCTGTAGCTTTCATTGAGGTCCTGCAAATTACTAGAATGGGTCCTTTCCTAATAGTATCAGCTTCTTCAGAGGAGGTTATAGAGCAGGTTTAGGCAAAATGGCAGATCCGTCCAGACTTCTAGGGTGACAAATTGGAATGCAGGACACATGCCCACATTCCCACCCATCCCTCCCATAGCACGGCTGGAGCAGAGCTGAGCAGAACCCGTGGAGGGGCAGAGGTGGATGCAGGCTGCCCACTGTGGGATCAGGGCTCCCCTCCCGCAACCTGCTGTCCTGCCCCTAGGAGCCTCAAGCCAGGCACACCAACATGGTGAGGTTGCCCCTGCCCACCTGACAGTAGAAGGGGGCACAACTCCATGCTGTTGCCACTGGGCAGGCATGGCATACCTTGTGTGCAGGACAGCAGGGCAGGAAGCCTTAAGCCCACATCCCCCCCGACCCCGCACACAAATCTGGGAGGTACATGACCCCCTATCCCCCCATCCCTGGGCGGGGCATACACACAGTAGCAGGGAACTGCCCTCCCCACAGATGAGACACCCATGGGTCCATCCCACTCCCCAGCTAGGCCCTGCGGCCACACATTCCTGTTCTGGGCCCCACACACTGCCCTGGCTGGGCAGCACCTCCAGCCCCAGCTGCTGACCCTACCCCACTCCCTCCCTCACCAGGGGGGCCTCAATCTGTATCCCCCATGGACTTACCTGCAGGCAGTGGGGAAGCTGCTTTCCATCACTGCCTGGGGCTGTATTTCTGGCCACATACATGTGCGTGTACACACATGCACGTGGCACTCCCTGCAGCCCCTTGCAGGCTGGAACTCTGCCAGGCTGCAAGGGGAACCCACTGTTTCTCACATGTTTCTGCAGTGAACAGAAAAGCCAGATCCCTTAACAACACTGTGAAACTGGGACAAATGCTATCCCAGAGTCATGCAGCCCAGGACTGAAACTTGATGTTCCCGTTTTGGGACTATCCCACCCAATTAGGGATGAATGGTCATCCTACAGACTCCATTTCCCAGCAGCCCCTGCCTGCACTGCTCAGGCTGGTCTCCATGGAGACCCCAGGAGTGGCATGGGCCTTGACAGCTCTGTGCTCCTAGGGTTTCCATGGAGACTGGCCCGAGTGGTGCTGGCAGGGTGTGTGGCTGGGAGGAGAGCTGTGTTTGGGGCTAGGGCCAGGATCTCATGGACCTGACAGCAGGGGGCAGAGTCAGGACAGAGCCATGATCTGCCGCCGGCACGTCCCTGCCTGTGGAACCCATGCTTATCACAGGGGAATTTGGACTGTGGCTCTATCCCAGCTCTACCCTGTGCTGTCAACTCTGCAAGAACCCAACTCTGTGCCTGGTCCTGGACACAGGCAGGCCAGACTTTGCTCACCCCTTTTGTAGAGCTGCAAAAATTCTTATATGACATCCCTTGTCTCAAGACAGAATGAAGATGGCTTCTCTGCAGACCCTGCATCTATAAGGGGACATCATCCCATTTTACCAAGCCCTCCTATGACCCCAGCTGACTTCCTGCCCTTTGGGCAGGGGGCTAGACTCGATCATCTTCCGAGGTCCCTTCCAGCCCTAATGTCTATGAAATCTATGAAATCTATGAAATCCTACTGGGGATGGTTCAAGGAGGATCTGTTCAGATGAACCTCTAAAATATCTTCTCCCTTTGAACCTCCCACATCTTCTTAGATTTACAGGGTAACCAAAACTAAAGAGACAACTTTGCCATATGCTTTATCTTTGTCAGGGAGATTTCAGACTTGCAGAACAGTGCCAAAAGTGGCAAAACAAAAGATATTGTGTATTCTTTGAGGGCATCCTATTTACAGATTCCTCACTTTGGGGCTGTGCGGTGTGCAGCAGTGAGCAAGACTGGAACACTATTTACCTTTCTCCTTTGGGAAGAAAGAACTGTGAAACCCAAAGGGATTCCTCAAGCTCTGGACTGTGCTATGCCTGCTTCCAGATGCATTCTCCTTCTAGCTTAATTTAATTCAGTCAATTTGATCTGACTTCACCTCACAGGAGATTACAACTCCCAGTGTCACTTGAGGCTTTGTTGTTCTTCCATCATTGCACATTTCTTGACTAGACTTAAAATTAGCATAGCAACTGTTTATTCTGTTTGTTACACTCATGTCAAGTCAGTGCCTCAAAGGAGAGATGGGGTGTGT